GAGTGTTGCATCTACAGAATTGAGGAATAAAGCATCTAGAACCATTATTCACATTAAGCTACTAGTGATGAAGGAACCTTTTTTATAAGAGCAATAAAAGTAAAAACTACTCACTTTTTGATAGAAGGCTATGGCACGATCAAGATCGCCTACTCGAAGCATCACTTGGCATAGGGGTTCAGAAGTAGGTCTTCTCTCCAAAAGTTCAAACTTATAACCATCCGGATCTTCAATGAATGCAATTACTGTACTTCCATCTTTAACTGGCCCTGGCTCCTTTGTAATCTTTCCTCCTTTTGCCTTTATTAGGTCTACTCTCTTGTAAATCTACTAAGTTACAGTATAAAACCATAATAACCACAAATGTCTCAGCAAAATCATACAGCATAGGTGAACACCGAGCACCAAGAAATGAAGATTTTTTGTACTAAAAGTTGGTGGGGTTGTTTTATGATATTTGTCTAGTTATTACACACAACTCCACAACGAATGCATCCAACCTTGCGGATATTTTTATAAGGTTATTTCACACACAACTCGGATTATTTCACACACAACTCCACAATAATGATATATTGTCCGTTTTAGGACTAAGTTCTCATGGTTTTACTTTTGGTCATTACCCAAAAGGCCTCTCTAACATTGGAGTATGTGTGTGCTTTATAAATTAATATTTTTTCTCTTATTTTATCGATGCGGGACTTGTTTGTATCCCAACAAAAGTCACTCTTAACCGCCTTTTAGTTGTTAAATTCTCACAGGAATATCATTCTTTGACAATAACAACAAACCTAACTACTAAAGACTTCCATTATTTGAAGATAAATGCTTGCCAGTCATTCAACTAGTGCAACCAAAATATATAAACTACATAGAATTTGAAAATTCAAAATAACAATCGGATAAAAGTTGGTAACCCCATATGAATGGATTAATGGAAATCAAACCGTTTCTATGCTTTGCATTGCATATGTAGTTAGTTGCAGATGTATACAATAATGCATTGTTATCTTTTAAAAAAATGTCTTACATCTTCAACTGCAACACCAAAATGACCAAAGCCACTTCCAATCTCATAGTTATCCACTCCATAATCTGCAATCTCCGTGAAATAGCAAGTTTGATGAGAAGCCATTTTTTGATAAGTTGCAAGCATACACATATTGATTATACAGAAAAGAGTGGTATTCAAATCTGAACTCACTGTAAGTAAGTTCAACAGTAAAATTGGAGTCTTCAGGACCATATCCAAGAAAAGCATTAGAATATCTGTCTTCAGGTATATCCCGTTTCCTCAATAGCTTCATGCCAAGGCATTCAGTGTAGAACCTGCATACCAACATTATAATCAAATTACATACACCACTGAATCAGATTAAGTATCAGTGAAGTATCATTTCCAAAATTAAAGTACAGTATACTTTATAGTCTTGTCCAAGTCTCCAACACGGTACACAACATGGAGAAATCTTCTGTTGTCATTTTTGACCCAGTCAAACAAATTTTTCTCCGGTTGTGCTGGTTTTTCTGCAGCAGTAGCCTCTGCTACTCTTAACAACTCTGATCCTTTTGCACCAAATAACTTGGATTGTGGGAGAGCTGAATAACCAAATGATGTAGCAGAGAACAAAGTTATGAGTTGTAACTAATGTTATGAAGGCTTTGTGAGTAAAATGGAGAAGAAAGGTACATAGTCATAGATTACCAATGCCACCAGTGGAAACAAGGTGAAAGACAGCAAGTCTTCGTGATGAAGTACATGATGATGATAAAGTGTTACATGGTCTCAGCATTGAAGCAGATGGTAACATCAAGGATGATGCCATTGCTAATCAAATAATGTCCCTTTTTTCAGTAAGTCACAGTATCAGTGTCTCTTATGTTAGAGTTGTAATATGGTATTATGCTACATTCCTATTGGCTATTGCTATATCCAAATCCGTGGGTATCTAATGTCCACGATTTACAGGCTTTCATTGAATTGGACTGTGTTTGTGGTCCATATTGGATTGGACTATATTGCCTGCTACAATTTACAGGCTTCCATGGAATTGGGCTTCTTTAACTCGGCCTATTATCCTTTGCTTAAACTTATATATTAACGAGTGATATTTTCATATCATATATTTCTACAACCCTTTATTATAACTCATTTTTTTCTCTCTTTATCTATTATTACAAACCAATAAAATTTTTCATTTCTTTTTATACTATGATTTATGGTTTTTTATATCGTCTCACATTCCTCTTCTATGTTTTATGATTTTTTTTATATTTTATTGTTTCACTTTCATTACATTCTAACAATTATACCAATTATCTTATTTTATATCAGTATTTTAGCTTGTGAAATTCATAAATTAAATATTTGTGTATAAACCACATATAAGAAAAATATGAAGAACAAATACAAATTCTCTTATACAAAAGAACCACATGATAAGAGAAATCTGTCTGTATAATTTCTAATAATGCGATGAAGAGATAGAAAAATATGTTATAAAAAAATGTGTAGGAAAAACGTAATTGGCATGAGAACTTACATACAGTGGATTTGAAAATACTGCAAAACCCAACCATCACTATCAAATGGTGTCCTACGTAATGCTTAAAAATATATCTTATTTTACTTTATTATATTGTCGTTTCGGCAATTCATTATATTTTTACTCTAGTAATAAAAAAATTCAAACAATTTTTAGGATATTTACATTTTATATTTTTTATTATAAATAACTTATTAAAGAAATATTTTATTATAAGCAACGCGATGTGACCTAAATTATTTTCTTTAAAAAAAAATACAATATCTAAATTCTAAGATATAAAGATAATGAACCTATACATGAAACAACAGCTAAAAGAAAAAAGAGGAGAAGCATGAATCCAAAACTGTCAGAAAAGCACTGGAGTAGCCAGCCTGGAAAGAAGCTATGGTAAGCATTGATAAAGAACAACAATTGGACTGTACGTACTACGTAGTGCCCTTGCAAGAATAGAAAAATATCATTCACTCTAAATCGATGTTTAAGACCAAGTACAAGGTTAATGACACCAAGCAAGATTAGTGTCTCTATAGCAGATAAGTGAGAATAGCAACAAGCTTAGCCTGTAATGAGTGACCGTGACATGTAGGGTTTTGCTTTTACATTAAACATATTTTAAATTAATTAGAGTTTATTAGATGAAAGTTACAAAAGAAGAAGAAAAAAATGTATCATAATTTTAGATTCTTTAAATGAAATACCAAACATGCACATGATATCTCAATAATGTGCTGTATATGCTGTTTATATGTCTGTGCTGCTTGTCCTTTATTATTTTTGGCTCAAGTCGTCTTCAAGGGAAAAAGTAGAATCTTAATTAATGTTGCTTGTCCACATATATATCATGACTAGCACTATGTAACTCCAATCTTTAATGTATATAATTATGATAATATGATCAATGATTTCAAGGAAAAGCTTCCTTTTTTTTTGTGCAAAAAAAAAAGAGCTTTTTCAAAACAATGCAAAACAATGCTCTTTCTTTGTCACATAATTATCCAAGTATATATAACTCGTTGGAAAGACGTAGTATGTGCTATGTTTGATGTACGTCATGCAGGATATTCAAACCCTTCTTTCGTTAAACCCCATGCGTGTGGTTCAGCGGTAGGGGTTGATCTACGCTTAAGCAAGGTCAGGGGTTCGAATCTTGCATTGTGTATGCAGCCGCGTTAAATCTTGAGACCAGCTATCCCACCCTTTGAGGTGCCTCCAACCGAGGAGATTAGTCATTGCGATACTCCAGGGACGAACAAAAAAAAACCCTTCTTTCGTTAGTAACATACTCTCAAAAACTTACTATCTGTTCTACAATAATATTGTTTAGATGATTAGAGAGAGAGGAAGTGCTAAGTTTACCAACGAAAAAAGCTTTTAAAAAAATCTTTATGAATTAGTGTTTGGTACGAAATGAAGTGCGTGTCTCGTTCTCCTAATTATTTTTAAAAATTGATATTCTATATGGATAAAAAATATTATGATCACAATAAAAATTAAACTTAAATTTTTATATATATTACTCCATTTAACATCTTTAATTATATTATCTACTTATATTTATTAAAATATTACTATAAATTAAGTTAATAGGATATTGTAATATCTTTTTTATAGAAAATATGATTATAGATAGAATAGTATTTTTTATCTCAGTATTATTTTTTATAATTGCCTTTAAAAATTAATTCTCACATCAGGTAAAAAAATAATGCGTAAAAAATATTTTTCTTCAATCTCTAATTTTTTTAAAATTAAAATCTCACATCAAATAAAATAATGATGTTGAGCGTAAAATAGTAAGGTAGACGTAACTCAATAGTAATGATAGTCCAAGTATAGAATACAAAGGATTAGATTCAAATAATTATTAATTTAATTGTAATTTTCAATGGTTTGAATAGAAAATTTGATTTAAAAGAAGATGAAAATTAAAGAAGAAAATAAAAAGATTGAAATACAAAGATTAAAAACTCTAGGCTTGTGATTTATTGTCCTTGATTTTTTTTAAAGATAAAATTCATGAATTAATAAATAAGAAATGTTGTCAATTATACTTATGAAATTGTTGACAATCATATAGTTCTATAAAATCAACTATCTTTATTTTAAGAAAAATCCAAATTGATTGCAAGGAATTTATTTTAAAAATAAAGCATAAACACACAAAAATGAATTAATACATTAATTTAATTAGAAATTAAAAAAATAGTTTGATCATGACAATTTTTAAATAATTCAATTATTTTAAAGTTATGTTAATTAAAGGAATTTGATCACATGTAACTTTCAATTAATTAAGATAAGAATTAGAAACATTAAAATAATCACAATTTAAAAGAAATAATTCATGAAGGTTACAAATTTACTCTGTCAAGTCTGCATATAAGGAGATTAGAAATGAAAGGATTTTTGCATCCAATAAAATATTTTCAAAAGTATGGTCGCAAGTAGTTCCAACAAAGGTTACAGCTTTCGCTTGGAAGGTAATTCTTAACAGAGTTGCTACTAAACAAAATTTGTTTATTAGAGGCATCTTGAACAGTTCACAGGTCGAATGCTCTCGCTGCACGGGCCACATGGAGACTAGATCACATATGTTTTTTGAGTGTCATGAATCTTATCGAGTTTGGATGGAATGTTTTAACTGGTTAGGTGTTAGCACAGTTATGCATAATAATTGTGCAATGCACTTGGAACAATTCTCTGGTCTTTCTTTTTGTAACTCTCAGAAAAAGGATTGTTGGATATCTATTTGGTTAACCATCATATGGACAGTGTGGTTGGCTAGGAATGAAGTGGTCTTTTCTTCCACTCAAATATCTGCAATGGAGATGGTAGATTTGGTTATAATTAGAACCTGGAACTGGTTAAAGACAAGGCATAAAAATTTTAGGTACGACTTTGCTTCTTGGTCCATGAATCCAGCAGCTTGCCTCATCTAGATAAATATATTCAGGTGGTAAACGAGTTTATTAGAGAAATCTGATTCTGCAATTTTTATTTCAATGTTGTGGGCTGGTTGTGATGGTCTAGCTTAGGTTCCTTGTTGTGGAACGGTAATTTTAGTTCACATGTAGCATTTTGTAATGGGTTGGAGTACCTCTTGTACTTCCTTTATTTTAAATTATTTGGTTTATCAAAAAAAAAATTCATGAAGGAAGCATGATCATACATATTAGTAAGCACGACCATGCTTAATATTTTGGTCGTGTGGTGACGTGCTTCTTTTGAAGCTCAATCGTGCATAAGTCAAGCATGATTATCGAATGTGTATATCTTCAACTTTCAAATTTACTTTATTTTATCAGTTAATTGTCTTGATTTCATTCTTTTTTAAAATATTTAGTGTTTGTTGCATGCTTAATAAAAAAAAATTGGAGTATTATCCAAGATTTAACATTAATTTTAGGCAAAACAATAATGAATATCAAATTATCATGTAACATTTTGAGGGTCTAACAAATGATACATAAAAAAAAAAATATAATCATAAAATAAAATTTAAATATTAATGAACTTTGACATTTGATCTAGATTTGGTAATGACTTACTTAAGATATTTTCTCTTCTTAAAAAAATATATTTTTAACTTTAAAAGACTTGTAGACAAGACTTATAAAGTATAAGTAGTAAAACAATTTATGTTAATACTAATTATCATTCTTTTAAGTTTATAAAAATTTAACAATATTATTAAAATGTTACAAAATATTACTTTAATATTCTTTTTAAAAATATTATCATTAATATATAAAATATTGTTAAAAATATTTAAACACATAGACTTTTCTTACATTTAATAAAATATTATAAGATTATATTAATAACATTTATTCATAATTTAACATTCTTTTAATATGGCTAAAAACACAATGTTATAATGATATATAATATCTAACTGTTAGCCCAAATGATTTAATTGATATTTTAAAGTGTTGTCAAAATATTAAATAAAGGACATATCGTTTAATATATTAGTAATTCAACACTTTTCAAGTAATAAAAAATACTTAATATTTCTTAATATCTTTCCACAGTTCTAACCCAAAATAAAGGAATTTCATATGACAGTTTTTTTTCTTTCTTTTTTAGCGTACGTAGACTTTCTGACAGTATTTAATATTATATCAAATGTCTATAATATAATAAAGGAGTAACAAAATATTTCTTTTTATATCTGCATTATATATAGTTTAAATTAATCTCTAATTCTTTCCGATAAGTTTTTGGTTTGAATGGTACTGATTCAATTATTTTTAAGTTAAATATTTAATTAGTGTCTAAAAATGTGATTGAGAGAAATTTTTTTATTAAAAATGGTCAACTAAGTTCCTATAATTAATCTCTAAATCCTAAAATTTTATTGATTTTTTAATTAATAATTAAATATATTTTATGTCATAAAAAATAAAAACATTTTTAAAAAAATTCTGATATTAAGTTCATTGTATCTATTTATTGATAAAATAAAAATTAAAAATTAATTGAGATAAAATTAAAGTTTATACTTTATAGTATCCATCTACTCATATAAGACATAAAATATAGGGCTGAAGTATTTTTTTTAAAGTAACTTTTAAAGATTAATTTAAAAAAATTTAATAATTAACAACATTTTACGTAAGCCTAATTCAAAGACCAACTAAGGACAGGTCCTGGATCTGAAATGAAATTAACTTTGCCTATAACTCCGTTGACCTAGTGGTTAGGCATTGGAGAAATTATTACATTATTAAGAAAGAATTATTGTTAGTTTTAAAGAAAAACTGGTCCATTAAAATTTATGTGGGTACAGTGAGCATGTAGTGACAGATGAGAAGAGAAAGTAGTGGCATGGCACCACTGTCATCATGTGAAAATTAGTAAAGTATATAATCACGTCCCTTTTGCATGCCCCACTGCCTAATTAAATTCTAATTATAACCCTAGTCTCCTCACTCCTCACACAACCAGAAAATATTAACATATATCCAGTTTAATTTATTTATTTAAAAATGACAATCAATTAAGTAGAATACACTTTGTTTCTTTAAAAATAATTTATATTTGGTAGATGCATGAATCCAAAAGCCAATAGCTGAACATGTTAAGGCATGGTTAAATTAGTTTTTTTTTAAAATATTTACACTTGAAAATTAAAGGAATTACGTGTCGGATGAAACTTATAAGTTAAGAGCTTAAATATTATAAAATTGAAAATTTCTTGAAATAAATATATAAGTAGAATATTTTATCTATAATTATAAATTTACTTAGTATTGAATAATTTATTTTATTTTAAATAATAAAATAAAAATTGTTATTAAAACGTATAAAAAAGTAAAATGTATTCTTTATATTTTTTATCAAAAGAGTTAATTTTGGGATGTAATTACAAAAAATTTAAAAGATCAAGTACTTGATTTTTGAGAGTTTAGAGACTTAATAAATTTTTTTAAAAATAATCAAGAAAAATAATAATATTATTATTATATTAAATTTATATTTTATAGAATTAATAGAGAGTTTATTTTAGGGAGCAGATTGTTTGTATTTGTCCGTCTTTTTCAGTTATAGTTTCCTTTATAGGTTGGGAGTGTAGCCTGGTATAATCCAAGAAAAAGAAAGTGGCTTTTATGGTATACGACAAAATAATTAATATGGAGAAAGCTGAACTGGTGGAATGCGCATGCAGTATGATGTGCTACTCAAGCTCAAATATGTTTTTTTATTTCCCTACTGGTGAGGGGTGAGGGGTGACGCTGTAAAAATTAAAATTAAAATTGTACCGTGGAGGTCTCCCATGAGCTGACCCGAAGTAGGTCGGCAAAATATTGACATGGAGAGCTATGTACCATGATGGTTTCCCACAGATCGACCAAAGTAAGTCGGCAAAATGTTGATCCAACATGCTCTTTGCATCTTAGTGCTCGAGCATGGAGGGCTATGTACCGTGGTAGTCTCCCATGAGCCGACCCGAAGTAGATCGGCAAAATATTGATCTAATATGCTCTTCGCACCTTAGTGCTCGAGCATGGAGGGCTATGTACCGTGGTGGTCTCCCATGAGCCGACCCGAAGTAGGTCGGCAAAATATTGATCTAATATGTTATTTGCACCTTAGTGTTCGAGCATGGAGGGTTATGTACCGTGGTGGTCTCCCATTGGCCGACCCGAGGCACATCGGTAAAATGACGAGCTCATAATAGGGACCCAAATATGGGAAGATTCACTGGCTCACTCAGACAATCAATAAGATCCCACAATCCGTGGGAACGATAATAAATACCGGGAGCTACGAGTCCATAATGAGGCGTGATTTATGAGATCATAAAGAGGAGTGTTCAATTCATATCTGTAACGCTACACCATTATATATAGTAATGATTAGGTCTAACAGGTTACTCTTATCAAATGTTCTAGGTCAAGATTGCTATCAAGTTCTTTTAGCTCGGTATTGCTAAGGGTTCTTCGGCGGTGATCTCCAATACCGGAACAAAAATGTTTAATTGTATTTTTAAATTTAATAATATTTATAATTTCTAATAAATATTTATTAGCAACGAAAAAAAAGTGTTTTTAATTAGGTTAATTTTTGTTTAATAATAATAATAAGAATCGGTAGGATAGCATGTGCAATGGCGTTGGGATGAGTCGCAGTTGTGAGCCATGATTCATGAAAGATGCGACATGATTATAATAAAGTCAACGAGGATGCGTGGAATGGGATTCTAGTCCACTTGCAGTTGTGAGTTGTGAAAGGTTGGACCTAATTATTAATATGCCTTTTTGTTTGCATAATTGCATATAAATTGTGACCATATTGTCATGATCAAGTAATTGATGGCCATGGCCAAAATCGCTCTTGGAAGCAGCCGAGAGGCCACTCAGCCAGATTGCATTCAGGCCCTCGTCGTTGAATTCATCGCCACCTTCCTCTTCGTATTTGTCGGCGTCGGTTCTTCCATGCTCGTTGGTACCTACTACCATATGCTATATGCTATATGCTATATGCTATATGCTATATGCTATATGCTATAACCTTATTCTAATTTCATCACCTTAATTAATTCATTTTCTACGTCACTATTAGATAAGCTAGGAGGGGATCCACTAGTCGCCTTGTTTGCTGTGGCCCTCGCCCATGCACTTGTCGTCGCCGTAATGATCTCCGCCGCCCACATTTCCGGCGGCCACCTCAACCCCTCCGTCACCCTCGGCCTCCTCGTCGGCGGTCACATCACCGTCTTCCGTTCCATCCTCTATTGGATCGATCAATTGCTCGCATCTGCCGCAGCTTCTTATCTACTTTACTACCTCTCCGGAGGACAGGTAACAATTAACAAAATTCAAATATCTTTTTTACCATTATTTTTATAATTTTAAATAATATTTTTTTAAAAAAATGAAATGCAGGCGATTCCGGTTCATACGTTGGCGAGTGGCGTGGGGTACGGTCAAGGGGTAGTTTGGGAGATTGTGTTGACGTTTTCTTTGTTGTTCACTGTCTATGCCACCATGGTGGATCCCAAGAAGGGAGCGCTTGCTGGGCTTGGCCCAACCCTCGTTGGGTTTGTCGTGGGGGCCAACATCCTTGCTGGTGGGGCTTACTCCGCTGCTTCTATGAACCCGGCAAGATCTTTTGGGCCTGCCTTGGTTGCTGGCAACTGGACCGATCACTGGGTTTACTGGGTTGGACCTCTCATCGGGGGTGCCCTTGCTGGTTTCATTTACGAGACTTTCTTCATTGATCGATCTCACGTTCCACTTCCTCGAGATGAAGAAAGCTAAGCTACTTAATAGGATTATTAGCAACCTGCACTTTCAATTCACCCTGCTTAATTTCCTAATTAAGTTAATCAATAATCTTCCTTCTGTGTGTTATGTATGTTTGAAGAGGCTTGTTTATGTATAATAATATATCCTTAATCATCTTAATTTCCCCCAAAATATGATCAACAAACATTATTCATACATAAATTAAACGTTTAATTTATTTTAATAAAGAAAATCAGAACTGGCACAGGCACTTGTGTAGAGGCTTTATGGACAGCAATATTCCATACTTCCCCAAAAGGGGGTGGGGTGGGACCGTGGGAGAGATGGTCAAATTAAGTGAAATAATGAACTTGTATATAAATATTTTAAACGCAAGTAAATGCTTCATCTACGTCATACCCACAAGGGTGGATATCTAATTTATTTATTTAACATGTTTTGTCGTTTTAATGACAGACAAACGAGTTCGATTGTACAATATATGGACTGTACTGTCGCGACGTATTATGATGTTTACACAATTCAATACGACAACATAAACGCGGGTCTATATAGCCATGGCCCATGGATACACGAGCTGTTAGGCATATTAGTCTTGCGCTATATATCTCTAACCAAAATTAATTTATTAGAGTAGATTATTTTGTGTTAATATTAACATTATTATACATTAATAGTGTGTATAATTTTCTTATCATCAATAAATACTGTAATTAACTAAATCATAGCATATTCATTATGATTTTAAATAACATAATGTGAACTTTATAATGTGTCTATAATCTCACAAACTAACGTGATACTAAACACACACCCCTTAATCAAAAAATAAAAAATAAATAAAAGTACACCCATAAAGGTCGAGAAAAAAGCTTCTTTTTTTTAAAAAAAATTTTTTTTTTAGGTAGAATAGTGAATACTTCATTAATCAAGAACAACTGGATACATAAAAAATGAGATAAGAAGCGCAATGTGTTTGGTAAAGTGGTTTTGATAAGGAAGGATTGAGAGGAATGAAAAGATGGAAAGCAAATTACAATTTTACTATTGTTAGTATTTTTTGTTTCTACATTTGAAAAACATAATAAATACATATGAAGGAAAATATATCAATCTCAATTACTGAATCTCGTAATAAAGCTCACAAATCTTACTTCATTAAAAAATATATTTTTTAATCAACAAAATTAATAAACTTTTACTCTGAATCATTCATAGCACAACAAACGCCAAAAATAACGTTAATAATAATAATAATAATAATAATTCATAATTTTGTACAATTTTTTTAATAGAGAATAACTCAATAATTTTATTTTATTAATTTAAATAAAAATTATTATTTTACAAAATAAATTATATCATAATCATTTTATAATTTTTGTTAACAAGATATAGAGTATATTTTTTCGCTAACAATAACAATAATAACAATAATAATAATAATAATAATAATAATAATAATAATTATTATTATTATTATTACAACTAATATGTTATTTCATTTGTTAATCTTTTAATTATTTAAATTTTGACTTTTATTTATTATTTTATATTATAAATTTTAACGTTTAAAGTCAATTAACATTTTTTAAAAAACTTTTCACTATATTGTTTTTCTCATGAAATTCTTTTTCTATTATTAACTATATTATGTAAATTTTTTATTGTTTAGAAAGGAGAGAAATAGGAGAATAAAAGAGGGAGGAAAATATCACTCATGCTAAAATAAAATTACTTATATGAATGACAAGATTTTGAATAATAGTTTTAAAAATTGTGGAATCACTATGGAATGACATATACTTACCCTAAAAGCTTGAATCATATAAGTATATTATCAGGGAGAACATTGATTTTTTTAACATAAACACTTTTTTTCTTCTATGTTATTTTTGTATTTCTCTTAAATAAAATAACTTAAAAATTGATTCATTTTCATTCAACCTTTTTTTTTTCTACTTTATTTCCTGAATCTTTTATTAACCAAACAAAAGCATAAGAAGCGGATGTTTAGAATCGAAGGAGTCGAAATACGAATAATGATTTCCTTTTTTCTTCCAAGCTCGAAGAAAAAAAAAATTATTATTATTATTATCTGTTTCCGAGTGCAGAGTGCAGTGTGCATTCCTATGGTCTCTGCATAATATAACGAAGGAGGGTAGAATTATAGGGATGGCAACGGAGCGGGTTGGGTACGGGCTTCATGATACTCGTATCTGTTTTTGTAAGTTAAATTCATTCCTGTTCGCGTATCCATACAGTTGGATATGTGATTTTCATTCCCACTCCCATCCCTGTTGCGTATCGGCTATACCCGTACTCGTATTTGTATCCGTTAATTTTTTTATTTTTTATTTTTTATAAAAAAATATGATATTTTTAAATTATTTTTTTATTATATTATAATTATAATTAAGTTATTTTTCTATCTCATATTATAATAAATAATCACATATAAAAAATATTTAAAATTTTTAATATAATTAAATTGAATGTGAGTATTAAATAAAAAATAAAAATAGGGACAAGTATAGGTACGAGTACGGGACATGTAAGTACATACTCGTACTTGTACCCGTACGCGATTTAAAGTATTGAGTTTTATCCGTACCTATACTCGTACCCGATTAAATAAGTATTCCCCGTTAAAGTTTAGACGGCTTCAAGTATTACATGGTATATTTGTCATCCCTCAATAAAAACGAGGTAATGATATAGTGATGATATAGTTGCAACAGCAGGTAAAGATGACTACAATTCTCTAAAAACTGCAGCCAGCTCAGTGGAATAGGTACTTTGCCATTTCTGACAGTATCTATATTAAGTTATTAAGTTGAACCACTCATTGGGTAAAAGCACAAGGAACAGATCAGAACCACCATTAACTATCACGGAATTGTTATCCATGAAAATTGAAAATTTTAGTAAATCACATTATGTGAATAAATAAATTTTAATAAATAAATTTAAAATAACATAAATTTTAGATTAAAATTTTGTATAAAATAAATCAATCAAAAAAATTAATTCAAAACAAAATAATCAAAAGATCAATTTTTATAACAAATTATTTATATTTGACCAAATTGAAAAAGTAAAAAAAAATTATAATAATATTATAAAAACATAATTATAAAAAAAATAAAAAATAAAAAACAAAATGACTGTACTCCACGATTATAGTGGGTACAGTCGAATTTCTCTAACTGTTATTGCTAAGCGCTCAACCACGCCAAGTTCCCTCAACTTCTATACAACATATCAATTCAAAACACCACGTGCTACTGTCTTCACCACGTGGCCTCTTCTGTAAACATTTGCATCATCGTTCATCACAAGCTCATATAATCAATCACCTTCATCAACTTCATTTCGGTTTATTTAATGCATGGGCATTTTATGAGGGGTGAAATAATAGATAAATTCTTATATATATATATATAACAAATTAAAAATGTAATTTTATTAGAAAAATATATGTTCTATTACATTATACAAATAGCATAATTTTATCATATTTTAAAACCATGGATTAGTTCTAGCAAAAATAATAGTATAGTTTTATTTCATTATTAAAAATGACATTTGCATTCACTACAAGAAAACGGTAAATAAATGGCAAAAAATAAGCATCGGTTAATAGCTGAAGCAAATAGTATCGAAAAAGCCAACACTATTTTAAGATGTAGTGTCGGCTTTTCCGACGCTAAACTTAAAATAAATTTAAATTAAATATTTTAAGTTTAGCGTCAGAAAAATCGACACTATTATTTAAATATAGCGTCGACTTTTCCGACGCTAAACTTAAAATATTTAATCTAAATTTATTTTAAGTTTAGCGTCAGAAAAGTCGACGCTATTCTTTAAATATAGCGTCAGTTTTTCTGACACTAATTTAATTTAAATTTAAATTAAATTAGTGTCAAAAAAGTCGATGCTATATTTAAAGAATAGCGTCAGTTTTTCCGACACTAAACTTAATTTAAATTTAGTGTCGAAAAAAGTCGACGTTACATATTAAAATAGCGTCAGCTTTTCTAATAGTATACGTGCTTTGAAAGAGATAAAGATAATTTTTTCAATGTTATATACGCATAATGTGTTCTTGTACACTTGGTTATCAAGTTCACTTAAGACCTCAAGGTTCACGGATCGAGTCCTAGGAATGTTAAAAATACGAACGAATAAACGATAAGCTGGAAATTTTTTTTTTTTTGTGTCAACATAATGTCGGCTTAGCCTACACAAAAAAAAATGTGTCGACTTATGTAGCATCGACCAAAAATTGACGAAAAACTGACAATATTATGTTAGTTTTTATGATTTAGAATCGGCTCTACCAACTCTAAATCGAAACATTCTTGTAACGATTTAGATTATTTTTTGTCATCTTTAATTAGTGTGAAGTATTTATCATTTTTGTAGATTACTAATTTTTTGTTAAAATATTTGATTGATCAATTATAATAGAACATCTTCAACCTTTATTGAAGTTTATGTTGGTTAGTTCTAACAAATATAATTTTATTATCTACAGATAATAAATGTGATATTCATTAATTATCATAGTTTCATGACAAGTTACTTTACCATTCAAAAACTTTAGCCAATAGCCTACTAACCATAGCTGTAAAAACCTATGGGCATTAAATGAAAAAAAAGAAAAAAAAGAAGAAGAAACAATGGATTTTCTTATCTAATATTGAGTCGGTTTGCTTAAATTTAAAAATAAATGTTTCTAAATATTTTTTTAAAAAAACTCTTTTTAAGAAATAGATTGGGAGTTATTTTTTTTAAAGCACAAAATTATTTATTTTAAAAAAACTTAGACAAACACACAAAAACAAGTGCTTACTTTATTAAAAAAAAACGTTTTGATTAAAAAAAAGTTTAAACAAATAAATCCTATCTCCTTTCTTTTAACTGTGATATTTAAATTTTTATAAAATCTAAGAAATATAATGATTTTTTTTCATAAAATAATTTTAATTAAATTTTTTTTTGGTATTGTATTGTATTAGCTGAGTACTGAAGAACTTGGCTAGTCCGATATTTGTTCGAACGAGATAAGTCAAAATATTTTTATCTAATCTCTTATCCAAATCAGGGAGATGTTGGTCACGAGATAGTAAAAGTAGTAAACAAATAATTTTAGCTACATATATTAAGAGATAATCAAATAAAGTTTAAGGAGGAGAGATTTTCATCTTATCAACTATACTCTTATAAAAAGGAGTAATATATTTAAATACGTACGTGGACTAACCCTAATACACTTCAGGATCACTGATGACTAACTTGAGAGTCATACACTCATACTGTAAGTCTGTAACTATAGGTACACCACCCGTACGAAAGAAAATCGGAAGAAGGAGAAGGAAATGAAAGGGAAAAGAAGTAGCAAACCAAAAGATTAAATACGATGACTTCGATTCTCAAGTAAGAACAAATCCTAATCGTAAATTTACACATTAGAACATGCATCTTTCTTGAAAGTGTGAAAATTAATTTTATAATGCCAAAACAATTAGGGAGACTGTTTCAACTTTCAAGTGTAGGTAGAATTAGAAAACTTTGTGAAGAGGAAATAGAAAGCATGCTTCAAACTATTAATAAATAGTAGTACTTTTTTATTATTACAGTTAATGTGAAAAAAGTGAATTATTTGGACGTGAATGTGAAGGTTTTATTCATTTATTATACTACCATATATGTGACACAAGCAACCAATGGTGGTCATTACCAGAAAAAAAGCAACCAATGGTTAATTGCTAAAGTTATGATCGGCTACGCTACTACAGGATAATGTAATTAATGATTCTACCATAAACCAAGTCCATGCTTCCACGCCTCTACAATACAAGTTAATAAAACCCGAATCCAACATAAGTTTAGATAAATAATAACGACTTGTGTCTCAAAATATTTAATATTCAAATTTTGATTTTAAATATAATATAAATTATATTGAAAAGAAAAATATTCTATTAATTAAAAACAATCATAACTCATCTCTTGACATCGCTGGAATCAATCAATTAAATTAGATTCTTTTGATACATGAGATTATCTTTATTTGCAAAATATCTGAAAATAAGAATAATTTATTAGAAACGTACTGTAGGTCATTATTATTGAAATATTATATTAATTTTACCATTACATATAATTAAATTATAAAATTAGAGAAAAGTAAAATATTTATATAAATATAATATCATTTAGTAAAAGAATCTTATTATAATACACGGTATAAACCGTACGATACCGTGTCAAGTTAGGGGGGAAAATATATCGAAAAATATTAGGACAACTGGAAATACAAACTTAATCTATCTTTATAAAGTAATTTGTTTCTATTAATTCTCCAAATGCTTTATACAAATATATTAAATATGGAAGTAAATATATTTATATATTAAAATTATAATTTTTTTTATTCTCTTCATACAGTAATAAGAGGATTAGTATGAATTAATTAAAAATATAGGAAGTTTTAAAATTATTCGTCTTTAAAATATTTTGAGTTTATTTTTTAAAACTCAAATCCTTAAATCTAAATGTGTTTATATCTATATTAGATTATCTAAAATTGAAATATAAGTCGATGCAATTTTTAGATAAATATTTACATGTTTAATTTGTTGATTTCACTAAGTGAAATTGATTTTCAATCTAATTAAAATTGGTTTTGAATTATGGTTTTAGTAGTTTTTGTATTAGATAAAATAATTTGCATTAAATTTTATTATTTACTTACTTTTTGACGAGTTTATATTTTGCAGGAAAACCTTACTTATTATTTTTAATTAAACATCTTTTTATATCTATAAATATATATATAAAAGTTTGTTTTGTTCCTTATTTTAATATGTTGACTTTTAGTCTTTTATTTTTTAAAAATTGTTAAATTTCATCTTCATTGTTTTAATTTAACAATGATGCAAAATTAGTTCCATTGTTTTATTATGGACTTTTAAATTAGCATATGTATATTATGTGTTTAGTCACTGAATATTTTTGTTAAATTAGATTAATAGAATTTGTAACAGAAATAAAATTTTACATATTATAAAAAAGAAAAGAATAATGTCAAATTTTAAAAAATGAGAGACTAAAATGAATTTTTACATATTAATAAGGAAAAAATAGATTTAATTCTTATTTTTAATAGATTCTTTACTTTTAATTATATATTTCATCTCAATAAAACACAAATTCAAGATTTTATTAAAAAAAATTAAAATTAATTTTATTGGAACAAACTACAGTATACTTATTTGTATGATACACAAAATTTCATAAGAAAAGTGACTGGCATTACTCAATTATTAATTGTACGAAACTCTGATGCATCCTCATCACTTTAACACTACTATTCATCTTCCTGGAGTATTCCCCTTCCTACTGCTACTGTAGTCATCAGCATTCACTTTCCATTTTGTCTTTGGTGTGTTACATAATTAGTCGAGGTTGATTGTGTCACGTAGTGGTCCGTTAATGGCAAGTCTGCAGCACTTGCCACTTGCTTGCATTCCTCGCTAGTTAGCTACTATGTCAGGAATGAATTGTAGGATCCATGTTAATAGTTGAGTTTTAATCAAGTTGATTGCATTTCACTTGACACAAAACATTATACTGAGAGAGATTCCAAATTCCACCGTTTCTAACATAAATTAACCATTATTTTTAAAATATTTTTAGTTCATTCTAATTCATCCACTAGATAAAAAAATTGTAATCATCTAAAAAAACATATAAAATATTTAATTAAATTTAAAATAAGGTATTAAATAATAAATAAAATTAAAATTGTAAAATAAGTTATATAATATATATATATATATATATATATATATATACTTTATATATATATATAATTAAAATTGTTAAAGTGTTACATATTTATATTTGTTAAAAAAAAAGCTTATTTAAACACCAAAAAGGATGATATAATATTGACATCTTCGAAGAGATGTGAATGTAAAAAGTGTTTTGATAATAATTTTTTTTTTTACAAAAGTTAATTGAATTTTAATAAAAAAAAAATGTATCATATATCTTTGAATTTATCAAGGGAGACAACCGAAATATTTAGCATAAGAGAAGAATACAGTATAATATTTATATTTAAAAAAAAATGTAATTTACTCTTATTTAATTGGTTCTATCATATTCTTTATTATTAGAAAGCTTGATTTAGACTATTTAATGTTAACTTCTTATATAATAATACAGTACAAAAATGACATGTATTCTTAATGTATACAAATTATCATTGTTAATCTAAATTAGACAGAAATAACAACATTGTATATATCATTTTTAAAAATTAATAGATAAAATTGAACCTCTTAATGATAAATAAACAAAATTAATCCCGAATAAATACTATTACCTTGGAATGGTTATTTTCTTAATCCATATAGAAAATCCTTACACATCCACCAATATGAAACAAAGTAAATATACGCTATCAATATGTTATTTACGGGATGCTAAAGGTATATGGGAGAAGAACTAACGCAACAAGTTATATGTGTTTGCACTCATGATGATGTAGATGGAGCGCACCAGCACCAAGTCATATGTGTTTGCAATTCTATTAGATTTATGTTAACTGATATGAATTAGACATAAAAAGTGTATCAGTTACTGTGGTTAGAATGGATGAGATGGAGTTTGATATGATTGGCCGGTTATTTTCTATTTATAATCTGTTGGAATATAAATAAATAGTAACCAGGTGTATCTTTTGGTGAAGCATATGGAAGTTCTATTATTGTTATAGTTTTTTTTTTCTACACCACATATATTATGAGATATAATAATATTACTTTAGTCTCGTAAAAATATTACGAATGATAAAGTTTCTAATTAAATATTTAAAAGGGCTAAAGAAATTGAACTTGAACTTGAAATCATTAACTAAATGAAAGAGTTATAAATTTATGAAGTAAATAAAAATATGGGTATAATTTCCTTTATCCAAGTATGAAGAGGTAGAAGAGAAATGAGACATGGTTGCTTGTGGTTATCCTTCTACAGCTCCTTGATCGAGCGTAGGGAAGACATGCAGTTATTAATAAATGAATGACGATTATTGTACTAATTAGTTTACAGCACTATTGATTATATATTATTGGTAGGTAGGTAGCTACTGAAAAAAGCTACCTTGAAGCTTCTTCTCGACCCAGGAAGGCGACAAAACGGGGCTCATATCGTAGTCTCTAATCTTGACCTTGGCCTGACAGTGCGATGGTTCAGTAGCAGTAGTGTTACTGTAGTCGACGCACATCTTCTCATCCGGCAAAACCTTAATCCTCCAAACCTTAAATGTCTGGTCCAAACTAGCACTATACACCAAAAACCCCACCACTACCTTTTCCATCTCCAGACACGCCGCCAAACACCTCACGGGCCCTCTGTGGCCATCCAAAACCGTCAAACACTCGTGGTAGCAGCTCCCCTCCTCCCTCCTCCACACCCTTATCGTCGTGTCCTCCGACCCACTGAATATCATGTTACCCACCGTACCCAAACACAGCACCGCGAAGCGGTGACCCTGCAAGAACCCTCCATGGTTGAACCGGTAGCACAACCGCTCCTTCTCCCAGAAGTTTATCATCCCGTCGGAGGACCCCGAGTAGAGGAAGCAGTGGTTGAAGGAGGAGCTCAATGCAAGAGCGTTCACGGGCGAGGGTTGGAATTTCAGCGTCATGGTTAGCGTGTGCGAGTCTTCCGTGTAGACCCTTCTCCATATCTTCACCGACCCGTCGGAGGAACCGGTGAAGAGGCAACCGTCGTCTTGGTTGACCAATATGGCGTTGACGTTGTCCTCGTGCGCCACGAAGGAGTCAACGCATTTTTTGTCGGAGACGCGCCACGCCTTCACGGTTCGGTCGTGGGAGCCGGTGTACAAGAGGCCTTCGGAGTGGTAGTAAGCCATGCAGGAGACGGAGTCTTTGTGCTTTGGCGTGTTTCTTCTACCTCTTGTGGGGAATGCTAGGAGCGAGGTTTTCCGAGGGAGGGTGGCGAGTTTCTTGGACTTGAAGTTATCAGAGACGGTGAAGGTCCAGATTCTTATGTTGTGGTCCTTGTGGGTGGAGAAGAGCATGTTGCTGTAGGCCAAGATGGCTCTGACTTCGCCTGAACTGGCTTTGAGGTAGCCTCTGTCCATGCAATCTGGCTGCTTCCAGACGCGGATTCTGGTGCTGTTGGAGCCGGTGAAGACCAAGCCCTTGGAGGCGGCGATGGCGTAGATGTTGCCCTCGTGGCGGTGGAGGGAGGCGATGCAGTGGTAGAGTAAGGAGGGTGAAGGGTTTGGGAGAGGGGAGAGTGTCCATGGTGAATCTGGCATCATGGGGAAGACGCCATTGGTGTCGGAGGTTGAGGGTCTTGGGGGGCTGAACTCCACGTCTTGTTCGTTTATCTCTCTGTGACGGAGGTGAATGGGTGATTCTGGCTTTTCGGTGTCCATTAGGCTGAGGAGGGTTCTCTTGCCGTAGAAATCCATGACATTGTGCGAAACTCAACTAGAGTAGTGCTAATTCCGACTTTACAATTATCCCACACAGTTGGCCTATAAACCAACATAATGAGGGTTTGGACGATGGGTGGACTCTATTTATTATCGTATAAATGTTTCTCAACTCTTCTCTTCACTTCTCCATCATTCCACCCAACTTTTTTTTTCCCCATGCTGAAATGGGATTATGATTATACAATATGTCAATTGTCAAGGAGGAACCTCAAAATAAATAATTGATTCTCCAAATGTTAGTTGTATGCGTGTATTAATTACGTTAGACACTATTTAGCTTCTTTTTTTTTTTTAATAGTGAGAATTGCTTCCAACATAAAGCTCTGTGTATATCCCAGCCTCAGCCTAATATAATTTAAAATATATATTTAAAGAAATATTTGTTAATCGATGGAAAATATAATTTAATTAAAATAATAAACCCGAAAGTTGTTTTTACTCTCTAATTAATTATAGATTGGTACATCATTAAATTCACTAACTCTATGATAATTATGACAAAATTTATACGTAAAAGTCTCAACATTAGAATTATATTTTATAAGAGTTAAGAAATAATATATATCGCTCAAGTCGGATAAAATTAGTCACAAGTATTCAAAATTTAGACCACGGATTAATTGATTCAAGCATTTGATAGTTAAAAAGTGTCAACATTGTAAAAATATTTATATTCATAGTATATCAAAGTTAAATTAAAAAAATTATACAAAGAAAATTCATAGAAACAAGAACATTTTTTTTAATTTTTTTGCATTCTTTCTTATCAGGTGTTAATATTGTAAATTATATTAGGGGTTGTTTGGTTTCCTTGTTTTCTATTTTCATTTTCATTGGAAACAAAAAATGGTGTTGAAAATACATTTATTGTAATTTTAGAAAGTATTTTTGGAAAAATATTTTCTAAATGAAGCACGAAATTGAAAGAAAAAAAAAAGGCGTTTCCTTCAATTTTTAATTGCTATGGTCAAGTCACTCTATTATATGCAGTTTAGTTTTTAAATTTTCTTTTTTTATATAAGAAAGTTATAACTTCTACCCACATAAACTGTATTTAAAACAAAGATCAAATCCAGATCTTAATGAATAAGAGTACAAATCTCAATTCACTATAACTAATAATTTTTGTTTTTGGTAATTTTCTTTACTTAAATCTTGAATTCTATTTACAAAAAAATCAAGGAATTGAACTTATTAAACCATTTCAAATCATTTTTCAATTATAACATCATATTTTATTAAAAAAACATATAAAAATTTACCCTCGTCAAAACTTTAATCGCACGCCATATGAAAATTTTCAAATTTAATTAACTTCCGATACTACTAATCGTCTAATCCTTTGAAATTATTTTATATTTTAACTCCATATGTCCTAAACATCTAATTCATGTAAATATATTAAGAAAAATTGACGATGTAATAAAAATTAAAAAAAATAAGAAATTAAGTGTAAGAAAAAAAATTAAAGGACTAAGATTACATATTGATTATAACAGCAGGA